ACCTTTAGCTTTTAGCTTACGTTTTGTGCAACAGGCATTCACCCTTGCATTTTCGTAGGAAATGCAAATTCTCTAGTTATGTTTGTGGTTGTAATGTGACAAAATATGGAAAAGTTCAAGGGGTATGAATACTTTTGCAAACCACTGTAAATCCTGGACAGGAAATGCCACAGTAACATCCCCGTATGGTGACCCCCCCCACACCACACAGAGGAGAGGTGCTCTACGTACCCTGGTGGTGAAACGACAGCAGCTCTGATGTTCTGATCCGGCCCGCCTCATACTGGGTCTTCTTTTCGAGCAGTCTTTGTTTGCTGGGATTAAGCAGAACTGAAGAGAACCAAAGCCAGATTAAAAGCTGTGTTTTGTGTAAGAACAGGGTTAGACCATGTGAAGAACCTGGTTCCTCCAACACATGCTGACATACCTGAGGGCTCAGGTTCGATGGACTGGAGAGACCCTGCAGGAGAGAAGCCTGGCTCCAGAACCCTGGGCCCAGGGGGGTCAGGACTGATGCTGGGCGGGGGGGAGAAGCTGTACTGGTCTTCAGTGGGAACAGATGGCTGGCTGCACTGGGAACCTGAAGGTCCAGCTGGACTGTGGTTCTGGGATCTGTAACTGGTATCACTGGACCCAAACAGGGAGTTGAGTTTGTACTGGGAGAAGCCTCGACTTTCATCTGTCTCACACGGACCACCCAAGCAGGAGGAGGGGGTCGGCAGAGAGGAGGAGTGGAGTGGGTGAGGATGAGCGAGGGAGCAGAGATGGGAGGACTGTGGGGGAGAACAGATGACCTTCAAAGGTTCTGGATTAGAAACCAAGCCTACACAGGAGTCCAGAGACCGTGGTGGTCTGGGGAAGGACTGGTAGGGGTTCTGGAACTGTTGAAGGGAGGGGGAGGAAGAGGCTCTCCTCACAATGGATTCAAGGTCCCGAAGTTCATGAAAAACCTGAGGAGAAACCATGGGGGTCAGACCAGAAAACCTGGACCACAGGGACTCCTGACCTGGATCTGAACATGAATGAAGGTCTTTCTTTCATCAGGACCTGAACCAACTGAACCTGTTCACACTTGATACCAAACCAGACTCCAAACCTGATTCTAAATCTGACCTAAGTCTGGATCTGGATCTTAACCCTAACCTTGCACATGGAGCTGAATGTGGACCTGGATCAGAGGACTAACAGTGGTGCAGGTTCTGACCTGAGTCATAGCCGGTCTCTTCTTCCTCTGTTTGTTCAAACATCTGTGTGCCAGAGCTGCCACCTGCAGGAACCCATCAGGCTCAGCAGAACCTGCAGCCAGAACCATCAGATCCAGAATCAGGAACAGGACTAACACAAACCAGGCACCAAGAAGACCTGGACCATTAGTCTGACCTGCAATCAGCCGTCGATCCACATGTTTCCTCCAAGTCTCTGTCGTCAAACCCTTTGGAGCATCCTCCACCTCCTCGACCAGGTCCTTCTGCAGACCAGAAACAGAGAGGTCCCAGAGTCAAGATCTTTTAGATCTGGAACAGGTCCTGTCAGTAGAGCTGGTCTGGAACAGGTCCTGTCAGTAGACCTGGTCTGGAACAGGTCCTGTCAGTAGAGCTGGTCTGGAACAGGTCCTGTCAGTAGACCTGGTCTGGAACAAGTCCTGTCTGTAGACCTGGTCTGGAACAGGTCCTATCAGTAGACCTGGTCTGGAACAGGTCCTATCAGTAGACCTGGTCTGGAACAGGTCCTATCAGTAGACCTGGTCTGGAACAGGTCCTATCAGTAGACCTGGTC